CCAATCAACTTAGCAGGGAGGATATGGGGGACAACAAAGGTAGCCTCTTACAACCCAGGGGCGTGTCCGAGGCATTGTAACACATTTTATAGCTTTTAGATACGATATTGCAACCCTACTTTCCAACAGGACAAACTTTACTTCAAATGATAAATGTTTACAGCTTGATTTATATATTTTTAGATTAACCAAAACCGCCATTGATAAATATAGTGTAATGTAGAAACAATATGTTTAAAATCTTTAATTTTGTGTTAATTCAAAACTTATACTTGCTTGGCTTTTAGAGTTTTTATACATCCAAAGAAAACTCATCGGGTGTTATGGTCAAATGGAACTATCTAAGCCAAAAATGTTAATGTTATTAGTAGGATTCGGACCAGTTACGTAATTTGTTTATGTTTATCATTCATACAGAGTTCTGTTATAATATTCATAATATTCGTGATTAAAAAAACAGTATAGTGTGGCGAAAAAATCTTTCAAATAGTACCATGCTGAGAACAGTAAATTAATTCAAACAAAGATACACGAAACTTAATCAGCTGTTTTCGTTGTTGTAATGAAATTCAGTAATTGCTAAGGTGGAGATCGACATAATCCCCATTCTTAACTTAAGACTTAGGTTCATAAATAATAAATGTATACTGATAAAAGGACGTAGATCACTATTGGATCAATATTGGTTTCTTGTACACGATATGTCACCCATCAAAGTTGTGTTTCCGCCATTTTTATCAGTTTCAAACTCCAACTCGTCTCGACACTGACTGATCTTCCTTCCTCGTCCCAAGACAGATGTGATTTATAATTTGTACTCTACTAAATATTGCAATGTTGAGCAGCTGTTTCTTATTTCTACCTCTCCTATTTACATTACCATCCTGCAGATGAGGAATAACTTCATGTTTTAGATTTTTAATAAGTTAAATACTGTGTTAGATTAAATATAGGTACATGATTGATTGATTTATCATCGAATATACAAGGTAAAACCAATGTGGTAGGTATTTGTACAGTATGGTTAACATAACAATTTATTACAATAATCAAATACAATTATTGATTGAATTGTTGACTATTTAAGTCTTGAAACAAATTATTTAGGGATATGCACCACGTAGCTCTTGCGGAAAACTTACGCTCTTGTGTTAGCATAGACTAAAGTATTAAATAGCCTACTATTTGCATATGGCTATAACTTGTAATTACTTATCAACTTGGTCAGAAACAAAAGAATATGGTAGAAAATGACATTTTGATTTTAGACACTAACGCATTCTCTGACTGGCACTGTCTCACATGTTCTTTTTTATAAAAATTGTCGACAGCTGATCGAGCCATATAGATGGGATTTCTACTTCTACGTATATCCAATACTCAATGGTTATATGGCGTATGAGAGGTTGTTTACTCCATAGTTCTCCAGGAAGCTCTAAAGGATCTACTTCATTTGTATTGAAAACTCTGTCTAACATAGTAATCCAAAGGTCGCTGGTTCGATCCTGTACACTCTGCCTCGGCGAGAGTGTACTGGGGGCATGATGCCCCCAGTACACTCTCGCCGAGGCAAGGCGAGCGTTGGCGAGTGCGAGAGTGTACTCGGTGCGCTCGTCTTCTCTCGCCTTGACTCGGGTCGCCTCGCCTCGCCTAGCCTCGCGCTCGCAGGCGCTCCGTCTGGAGTCGGTTTTTTGACACGAGTCAAAGGACCCGAGACTGCACGAGAGCCGAGCACTACTTCCACATCGAAGTTTGCCTCCATTTCGACTGCGAGACAAAGCGAGGGTGTACACGGCTACCTCGCAGCCCCCAGTACACTCTCGCCGAGGCGCCTCGCCGAAACGCTCGCCGAGAAATTCGGGCGAGGGCTTATGCGAGGTAGCCGTGTACACCCTCGCTTTGTCTCGCAGTCGAAATGGAGGCAAACTTCGATGTGGAAGTAGTGCTCGGCTCTCGTGCAGTCTCGGGTCCTTTGACTCGTGTCAAAAAACCGACTCCAGACGGAGCGCCTGCGAGCGCGAGGCTAGGCGAGGCGAGGCGACCCGAGTCAAGGCGAGAGAAGACGAACGCACCGAGTACACTCTCGCACTCGCCAACGCTCGCCTTGCCTCGGCGAGAGTGTACTGGGGGGCTAAGCCCTCGCCCGAATTTCTCGGCGAGCGTTTCGGCGAGGCGCCTCGGCGAGAGTGTACTGGGGGCATTAGAAAAGTGCGTAGCTTTTTTAAAGTTCGAAACTGAATCCAGCTGTTCTTGATCATTATGTTTTCAATAATGGTCCTGACTATTTAAAAAACTGGCCTTAGTCAGTCAAAAAGCTACACAAGGCACCACACTCCATTTTCACACTCATCATTCACTCATATTTGGGTTAAAATGCGCACATAAGTGGCGTCCCATATGAATATGATATGAGTCACCAAGCAGCTAATTGGAATACTTACAATATTATTTTGAATTGCTGTAAAATCTAACGGGGTTTCATTGAAGTACTTTAAGTCCCGTTAAAGAGCTCAGACACAACTCTTCAATAGTATTTCATCACTATTGCCTCAGTGAAACTGAGCTCAGGTGGTTGAACTATATTTTTCGCCATTTTGCAACATTATTTAACAGACTATTTAGAAAACGAAAATCGATTTCCACCATGTGTTCAATTTTGCTAATGCATTATTAATCAGCTGATTTCGTAAGTGATTATTAGAAGTAGTACTGTAGTTTAAGGCTACTATCGATGTATCAAACCACTATATCAAACTATTGACAAGACGAACGCAACAATGAGCGAACCTATTAAATCAATCGATTAATAAGTTCAATACTTGCGATTGCTTACAATCGAAGTTAACAATAGTTGATTATTACTCCCTATGGACTATAAATACCCCCGCCGCAGCAAACCTGCAGACTAAGCGAATTTCCATCTACCTGTCTGGAATACCACTAAATTATTCCCTTAAAATTGTCAGATTTATTTTCTATTTAAATATCATTAATTTTGATGAGTATTTAGATTTGCTGCTACAGGGAAGAAAATAGGGGGGGGGGGTGATTATTGAAATATTGATAGCTTAGTATAAAGTAAACAAAACTTCATTACAAATATGTCCATAGACAAGCAAGCTACAACAGTTAATTTATTCTCCACAAGAATAACATGGTAATTTTAAATTTAGACTTTTTTGGGTTTTTCTTCCGTAACCGTTAGACATACAGTACAACAATGCTCCTAGTATTCTAAATTATATGTTTTTGAGCTCTACAAAATGGTTTGGAAAGAAACTGCAAAACCTTATGTTTATAGGGTGAAAATGGTAAAAATCAATTTTTACCCCAAAAACCCCCCATAAACCTCTGTTCTCATAGTCCGATCATGCTGGTTCGCGAACTCGTTCGAATAAATGTAGGTTTACGCGTTTATACCAAATTTCTTCAAAATTGGATCTGGGGATCCCAAAACTAAAAAGTAAATCTGCCCCGGGTCCAGGTCTTACCATGAGACCTACGGTAATAGCTAATAGTCAATAAAAGGTTAAATGTCCGCCGGTCGATCCTAATAAAGCTGTGTCCTATGACAGGAGATGCATTTCGGCAGAATAAATTGCCATCATCAGTCCTAATATAAGTTCTTGATCTTCCCCATTGGGTGCGTCTTGATGTTTTGAAACACGTACACGAACATTACACTTAGATACATCACGATTAAAACATAAAAATACACGGTAGGCCTACTTTTATTTGAGCTTGACGGACATGTAGTCCGTGTATTTTTATGTTTTAATCATGATGTATCTAAGTGTAATGTTCGTGTACGTGTTTCAAAACTTCAAGACGCACCCAATGGGGAAGATCAAGAACTTATATTAGGACTGATGATGGCAATTTATTCTGCCGAAATGCATCTCCTGTCATAGGACACAGCTTTGTTAGGATCGACCGGCGGACACAGGTAATTTAACCTTTTATTGAATGTCATACCGATCCGGAACAACAACAAACAACATAAAATGAAAAATAGCTAATAGCTTATTCCCTATATGGGAAATTTGCTAAAAGGATTTTTCGTCATACTGCAGCGAATAACCGTTTTTAATGCATGCGTTTCGGGTCTAACGTAGCATTTTTACTCTCTAGATTTAATTTTATTTGGTTTTTACTTGCAATTTTAATAAAATAAAATACAACACAGTCTAAAAAAATGTGGACAACGTGATAGGCTATTATGACAATCTTAGTTCTCAAGTTGTTATTAGTACCTACACGAGGTATACTCGCCCAAATACAACTTTCTTCGACTCTAAGTTAGCGTTTAGCAGATCTTAAATACTTCATCTCAGTTTTCATAATTTGTTAGTGTTATTTTGTAAAAAATAGTTTTTGAAATAGGTATACTAGACCAAGACTCGTCAAAACATTCATTTGACGATTTGATTTAGCTATCTATCTCCAATGCATCTTAAGTTCAAAAAGAATCTTTAGTGATAGCAGGAACCTTCCATAAAAAACACTTCTATTATAGTGAAGAAATTACAGCAAAACAAAACATTTTGTAATAAATCCCTACACAATTTTATCTCGCATGTAAATTACGCTGCATTCGTCGTCAGAAATAGTTACCAACCACACATTTCAATTTCTAATTTAGTACCTAATCTAATGAAAACCAAAATTTTCGAATTAATTTGTTGGACGCGAACACCCTCAAACAGAAGTGTACCCTAACTATGATACAATGTTTCTGATTGTTTTACTGGACCATTTCAATATCAATGAATTTATCACAACTCATTGCGGAACCTTAAGAAATTTGATTGATTATCCCTGAATCATCTGTAATATTCTAAAACATTTGATTAATTTTAGAACCGATAGTAGACGATTTGCCACAAATCTCTCGCACAACTCCCCGACATGTGTTTAAGCACGCTTTTCTGGGGCGGTGCTGCTTATAACTTCTCATCTCCACTCTTTCCGTCTTATAATTTACAAGACATTTTACTCACATCTATCCAGCAGGAGTCGGGTGTACACTCGCTCACTACATGACCGGAAGTACGGATAACCGCGAGACGGATAATATAGGGTGTTAACGCGAGCCGCACTACACACTGACTGACTGGGACTTGGGGCTTGGTCTCGTGCTGATCAATACAGCAGCCTCCCTGCCGCTGTATGTACCAGCTGATCAGTGATCACCCGCCCTCCAGCTGATCGCATAACCTCAATCTCGACTCCCGCCAATTTTTTCCTATTTGGCGTTTTGTGATTCAAGTTGTAAGTTTTGGTATTTTTCATTGATCTTTGCTCTCGACTATCTAGTAAATTATTTTTGTTTTTGAGCCCAATTCATAGTTTGAATTATATTGATGTGGCTTGACCATTGGACAGGTTAGGTAATGTTTACCTAGTTTTAAGTCAAATAATTTAGGGTACGTTTTTGTAAGGTAACGGACCAAAAAATGGCGTTGCCTCTCAAACTTGTTTTTTTTATTGTTATTTAGATCACTAGGAATTGTTTATTATGTAATATTTTATCCTATATGAAACTGTTGACCTTACCTAACAGGAGCAAACAAAACAATAGTTAATTTAAATAGAAAAAAAATTAAAATCATACAGTGTTTTCTGGATACGGGTTGTGCAATTCAAATCAATAATCAGCTGGTCTGGTTTTTGGAGTAACAAAATTCAAGAATTACAGTATAAAAATTCAAGGATAGTTAAAGGACTAAGCCAATAAGAATTTTTTTGTAGTTTTCACGTGTTATAACCATATTATATTTGCTGAATAATACTAACCATAATCTAAACTGGTTATGTCCATCATAAGTCAAGTGCAATCGGTGCAATCATCACAATCAAGTGCCAACAACAATCGAGAACGCATTTAATTATGTGCAAGTGGATTGCACGATACGGGAATGTAAAGTGACGTCATGAATACAACCGTGATCGCAGCGACATCGTAATCAATCAACTGCCGGGCTCATGTGATATCGCACAAACTTCGCAGACTTCTTCCGCTTCCGCGATAATATCGCGTGTTTTAGCCCAGGAAAAAAGTATGGTACCAAGTTCCAAAAAATATTTTGGGTTTTTATAAAAATAAAAATAATCAAGGAATCAGTTCTAAACTCATTGAGTTTCCAGTTCTGCTGTAACGGGGGTATTACAAGTGATTTCTAGTTGTTATCACGAATAATAATTTATGTATCAATCGAGACATGTCTGAGAGTGTGATGCAACTGTGCATAAAGCACTGGGAAATGTAGGCTATACCTAGACCTTAGAGAAGTATGTTTATTTTTTACTTGAGTGTTTTCTAGCCAATGGAAATACTGTATTCACAATATGTTATGAGGGAACGGTGAAATGGTTAAAACCCTTGATTTTTTCTATCAAAGGTTAAAAAAGTATCATTAAGATCAAAATCATTGTGTACTCACTCTTTTTTCATCTTCGAGGTTTTCATAATCTTGGAGACAACTAACTGTGCTGTCCACCAACGGCCCTATCTTCATGACAATTTTTTTATCTTGAGCCTATCCAAACGTGGGTTATGGAATTAAATAATTAAAAACCAGTATATTGCACTTTATTTAAGTATTCATTTTATGAATTTTTACCCTGGGTATAAATGTAGTCTAGTGTTATAGGTTGTGATTCCGAATCGTCAGGAACATCCACAGAGCCTGAGTCTACTGAGTCTTGATCTTGTCCATTTGCCAGTGATATGAAGATCACTAAAACACATAGTAATCCTATTAAATAACACACCTTATTTTGTAAATAAATTTTGAAATTTTTTCCCAAATTTTTACGATGATCAATAAATTCTAAATATAAGCTTTGACTATTAAGCATAGATAAAACATACTCCCTCTTTTCCCTCAGTAGATTTCCCATCCTTATGGAACAGCTGAAGCCAATTTTTTTGTTAGTTCTGTCCGGTGCACTGTAGATGTCGTGTTTTGTTCACAATTTGTTTCTTATTTCAGTAATTTAAAACAACCAAATAAAACGATATAGGTAATCATAAACAATAATTCACCCTCTTGTTATGTAACCAAACAGTAAAGCACAAACAATGAAATTAATTCTAAAATAATAGAAACAAAATTTCATCGACACTATAGCCACCAGTGTCGCCGGACATGAACTCGACACGAAATACGATCTTCAAAATTTACAATGGGACGGAAAGTCTACTTGTGTATAATTTTGTCTATGATTTTAGCCTATCCTTATCTCAAAAACTCTTTCGGGCTCCGCCCCAGTGGCTCTGGAATTCCCCATGTTAACCTTATGATTATTCATATTGAAAAGGAACTAGCCACTATACCCGTGCCTTGTAACAGGGTCAAGATGCAGAAGAGAAGAGACAATTTTGGTTCCTTGAAAATAATGGCAAGCAGCTTGAGAATGCTAAAGAGAACAATTATTATGTGTCCCTAGATCTGCTGTATGTAGGTAGACTTTTATTAATATTAATTGAATGAACGAAGTGATTTCTTTGAATGAACGAAGTGAATTCTCATACTGGTGCGAGAGTGAGATGCATCTTTCTGTTGTCCGAAAACTCGAGAATGACTAAAGTTATGAACTTGATGTTTTGCACAAAGATTCTATACCACAATATCTTGCGACCTTTCGTTGTTGAAAAATATTTGTTCCGTAATTATTACGAAATCTTAAAAAAACATTTATAATTTCGTCCCATAAGATTAACATTAAGAGCTACCTTCTTCTTCTTTTTATTTGTTTACGTTTTAAGACCTACAATTTTGTTGTTTACTAGAGACAAAGAGAACGACTTAGCTCCTTAACTCTTTCATCCATAGAGTAACAGTTATACCATAGATTAAACATACTGTGAGCATGTTTAATGTATGGTTATACTGTTTTCACATTATAATTCAACAAATTTCTCGAATAATAATGTATTTACGAAAATACTGGTAGGGGTTAACCAAATCTACCGAAATGTATTGTAATTGATTGAAAAATAAATATTTACATGTTTATTCTACAGGCTACGTTTCTTCGGTAGTAGGCTACGACCTACGACGCGACGGTCGACGAAGGGGTGGGTAAAAGCATTGACTATTACAGTATGCAAATATAGTCAACGGTAAAAGTCCAATATTGTTTCCTAGCTTGCTAAAAGTTTAGTTTTGGCAGTTTTAGCGTTGACCATTGACTATTGGATACTCTTTGACTAAATAATACAACTTCAGTTTTCCTTAGGCAATGGTTTTAGTTATTTTCGTTCTGGTTAGTGGTTTTTCTAAAATAAAAATGCGTCGTTGGCTTTATCTATTTAATGTCAATCAGTGATTCAAATTTTGCCCCGGAATATTTAGTTACTGTACTTTCATATTATTGTTAATATAACGATTTAACTTACTAAGATTTTTATCAAATAGGCCAACGTTTTTTGTTTAATATAATCTTTATTTCATCGGTTTAATACAAGTTTCTACAAGTTAGAAACAAATTGAATATTTTAAATATTTTTGTGTATTCGACTTTAAACAACACATTATTTTCTTTAACTTTTAAGAAGTCATGCAACACTATAACTTTACCTGAGATCAAAGTTAGAACAAGGGCAAAAAGATAGGTGTCATAGATCTTCTTCATACTGTCTGAAATTAAAATAGAGAACAATACAATAGTTTTACTTTGGAACAAAATTAAATTAGTAAAGTGAGGAATTAGTTGAAATTTTTTTGTTATACAATTCCCAAGAGCGTACAATCAAAAAAAACTATTTTCCCAATTCAATTAAAAAAGGAATTACTTGACTTTAAACAAATCTAATTTTTTCTTGCTTTCATTTGTAATGTTTCTTAAGAAGGAACCAGACTTTAGAACTTCTTAACTTTAAGCTTATATTCTGATTCTGATTGTTCAGGGAAAGTGGACAACTACCTGCAAGGGACCTACACACACTCCTAATCCCTTGTGCCTGTGTTTGAAAGTCCCTCATGTGTGTGAGTAGGGCTGACCAGACGCACTCCTTTCCTTGAGCAAAGAGGATACGTACGGTCTTCATTTGAGGTTTTTTTTGCCTTGTTCAGCTTTTCAAGCAGATTTGGTAGTCAAAATAAATTTACCTTATAATTATGGTAAAAAATGGATCTAATAAAATATTGTTTGAAATAGCCTGGATACAATTTATTTGTAATGTGAATAAAATTCCATCACTTACCTGCGTAAAGTTGACTTGTAGCTACTGTATTGACTCACCACCTACCTAAACCCAGATGTTCTTGTTGTTTTATAGTGTTTTACTTACACCACACCATAATGTTGGCAAAACTTACAAAAAATACTTGAGTTGCTCAAGAATTGACAATTGGGGCTTACGTAAGTTTCAATAGTTGGATCACCTATGCAAACATTAACAGCGAGGTGTTTAAATAAACATCTTGCAAAGAACTGTATTTTTTGCTGTTAAGCCAATGTTAGTTTGACGGAAGGTAAAAGGAATGCAAATAAAGTACACTTGTTAATAATTTTAAAACGTCAATGGAATTTTTCTTTCATAAACCAAATACTAACTTAAAAACCGATGCCAAATACTAACTTTGGTACTTATATCAAAATATTCCGGATTATATTTTGTTTTATCTTTATTAAAATAACTGAGAAAATTGTATTGAAAACACCCTAGAAAATATTACTGATTACTAAACATTCATCCCCTAGCATAGCCTAATCTGGGCAGCTGAGTGGTTATACTGCTCACAGGGTTGACGGTTTGATCCTGAGAAAAGCCTGGTAGCTTGTGGCCTAGTACATTACTGGACCCAGCTTTCCTCGATAATTGTAATGTTGAATAGTCCTGATGAAGGCCACCTCATTCCTCTCCGTTTAAAATACCATCGGGAAACAATACATTCAGACTTTGATGACAAACTGTATTTTATTAGATAAAACTTTAAATACATCAATCAACATAATTACAAACCATTTATAATAACAGTAAACATTTAGCTAACCCAATAACATCGATATACTAGTAATAAGAAATTGATTTATTCGTAACAAGGAACTTTAAAAAGAGAGAAATGATTTACTTAGTTTAAAGGAACGACACTAAATGTATGGTCCGAGATGAGGCTAAACAATCTGTGATATACAATAAACTATACATACTGAGATCAACTAAAATATTACACAATTAAGTACAACTAACTAATGTATGTATGCACTTAACAATAAAAGTAAAAAAATATATAAGGCAGCAATCAATAAAGTATCCTACAGCCAACATGTGATTTTAATTTTTGGCTAAAATCAAAGGGGATTGATAATTTTATTATGCATTAAACACAAGTAGACTTCTCATCCCATTGTAAATTTTGTCTAGTTCATGTACGTGACACAAAGGCGCCAGTGTCGATGAAACTTTGTTTCCATTATTTTAGGGTTAATTTCTTGATTTGTGCTTTACTGTTTGGTTATATAACCAGGGGGCAAGTTATTGTTTATGATTAGATCGTATTATTTGGTTAAACGAGGTTTTAAATGGCTGTAATAACGGGAAACAAATTGTAAACAAAACACGACCTCTACATAAACCGTACATGAACTAACAATAATATTGTCTTCAGCTGTTCCATAAGGATGAAAAATCTACTAAGGGAGTATGTTTTATCTATGATTAAACTAAATTTAAATCTAAAAAAATAATCATTATTCATTACAAATTAATTATTAAATGAACTAATTAAAACTATTATTATGCTTGATAATTGGTTTATAAGGTACAGTAAAAATTTCCTTTCTTCGCAGCAAATAAATTATATACTGCCTCCAATGGTTTCCTATCAATTATTTAACTCAACAAAAATAATTTTACATGTATAAGTGAATAAAATTTTTAATGGCAATGGCTTGTAAAATGAATTTCAATGAGTTTTACTATGTTTGACTTGATCAAATGTTGGGGTCGATTAGTCGGTGGAAATAAAAATTTATTAAAATAACTATACAGTTTACATGAATGAGAATTTCCCGATAGATAGTTTTTTTAAAGTGGTAAAACTAAATGACACACATTTATTGATAAGTAGAGAAATAGTCTGTTAGTCAGTTTATTTTTTATACAGTAGACTCTCATTAATCAGGACCAATCAAGGAAATGTTATGATAAAAAAATCTTTAAGATAATACTTGGAACTTTTGTGCCAAGCTATTTTCCTCATTGCAAAGACACGTTGATTCTAGTATTACACATTACGTAATGTTATAAAAGGTGTGGGTTATTGAGCGGAGCGAGCAAAGCTCCTTTACTACACTCCTGCTTTTGTTTTACAAATACTCTTCCTGAATGACTGAAGCAATCCACACGATTTAGCAGTCATCCAAGCATGGGAAGGTATAAATCCTAAATGGTTCAAACCGGACTACAGGGCTTTCCCTATGCTAATTTAATCGATTACTTTGGATACTGCAAGGATTCATCTCACATAGACTGGGGGTCATACACACATTGACTTTGCATACTACAAGCAGACATCTCATTTGTTTGAACCAGATGTAGCATTGACTTATTGAGTATTGGATAAATATGTTCTCCCCGCTCAATATTGCAAGCCGACAACTGCATTGTACCCCTAGTATTAATACTGGGAAGTGGAAATGTCCCCGGGAGTTATAATGAGGATTTTGTATCTACAACGTGTATTAAAGTACTAACTGGACTATATCTCAAGTTAATATATCAGAGTTTTTAACATGTACAATAAGTCATAAATCTTTATTGGTCATTAAATAACAGATGTTACAATAGACCTCGTTAACAAAAAAAGGTGCCAAAAAGGGCCATAGATTCTACTGGCTTCATTACTATGCTACTCTCTTGGGACTGGCTTTGGGAAATCAGCTCTCCATCTTTTTAGTCCAGTTTTCGAGAGCCTACTGTACAAATTGTAAAAAATAAATAGCTAAGTAGTACATAAAAATGTAATATAATGTAACAGCAACATAGAAAACAAAATCTAAAAACAACAAACATGGTAAAAACAACAGGTCATACATTTTTTACACTTCCTAAAACCCGATTTGTTGTAATACAAATTAGAAATCGGAGCCTTCTCTGACCAAACAGCACCAGCAAAACCACAAATCCTAGTAAAGATACTTTGTCTCCACGAGCTTACGTACGTTCACACAACATCCATAGGTGTGCAAGTATTTGATACACAAAAACATAAATGAGAGTTAAGTTTCTTTCAAAATGTGTACATAATAAAGTCAGTAAATAGCCAAATCATAAAAAAATCATAGTAACAAGATATAACTGCTACTTGGTTTTAACACTATTACCGAAACCCCGGTCTGACAGGCCCACGGTAATTTTCACAAACGCATGTTGGCATCACTGTTTACTTGGGGGATTCCATTCCCCCAATACCTTCCCCTACCTGTTGATATTGTTACAAGTCAGGAGCCCCGCGCAACAATAGCCAGGCACCGTCTCAAAGGATTGTTTGTCAACACCGGTTTCTACGAGCGCACCAGTGATAGACAATAGATCCATGTCAACGGACTACATCAATAGGGGCCCAGAACCTCCATAGAACACTTTCATAAGTATTTGTATGGAAGGTTTCTCTTGAGAATGGACCATGCCGCACTGATGTGGTTGCTAAGATTTAAGTCTCCTGAAGGACAGGTTGCAAGATGGATAGAAAGGTTACAGGTTACAGGAGTATGACTTTGAATCAATCCATCGTGCGGGACCGAGCCACAGGAACAGGGCCGTCGCGTGGGTGGGGCGACCAGGGCGACCGCGGTCAGGGGGGCGCCGCGGCAAAAGTAATGCAACAAATTAAAAAAAAGTTAGATGCACATAACGTATTTTGGAAAGTTATGTATAACCACAAATACTAGTTCTATTATTTGTGTGTGTAACTGAATGTTGAATATTACGTTGTATGCCTTTATTGAACAAATAAATATTATTTGATAGGTACCAATCACTTTATAATTTGCAATGTTTTTCAAATTAAATATCAATATAATATTGAATTAAATTTAGTAATAATAGCCTAAACAATCAACTCCACTGTTGATTTGAAGGCTCTGTCCCAAATTAATTATCTTTATATTGCAATGTCTTAATTATCTTAATATTACAATGTTGCGGTTCGCGGTGTTGCTCTGTACACGTAGCTGCCGTATTCTATTTATATTTCGCCCGACCGGCCGACGGTTGACCTTGGGAGCCACCCCTCTACCCCAATCACTCCTTTCTCCTACGGCAGTCTCAGCTGAGATTAACCCTTGCCGACCGACCGCCACCGCCCACCTGTTCCACCACTGCTCGTGCTCGAGCGAACACCATTACCGCAACGATACGGTGAACAGCCGGAGTGGTGAACAACCGGTGAACAGTCTCGGTGTAGTGGATAGCGCACCGGGTTAACAGAGGTAGCCGGTTCGTAACCTACCGGAGGCATTAACTTTTTGACTCGATTTTGTCATTATCAGCAAGTATGGTTGGTTTGGTTAGGTTATGATAGTTTAATTTTATAATTAAAAAATTATTTAATTGATTTTGAGATATTTATAATTTTATTTTATGAACAGAACTATTTTTGTTATTAAACCTTCATTCGAAATTTTCATTATCAGCAAGTTTGGTTAGGTTATGACAGTTAAATTAATTTAAATTTAACCTACAAATGACACGTTTTGACAGCAACAGTGCTAAAGATAACAATTTCCCACGAACAGTTCGGCTATGCACGGTATGATGCGTTCTGCACGGCGCGGTGGTGGGCGGTGACGGTCTGACGGCAAGGTCTCGTTCAGCTGAGCTGCCAGCTTAGTTTGACGAGTTATCTATATATTTAATACGCTAGGCATATTTTTGGCATAATTGTTTTGAAGCTGCTATGCATCGGTTTACCAAGTTTGAGGTGTCGTTGGATAGGGTGTGGTACGCAGATTTGCCATCTATCAAAAAATCTTTGAAATTCACTGCAAAACACATTATTAGGGTTCAGTGAATTTTAAAGTGAACTGACAGTACAGCAGTTACACGGGTTTGGCTTATTATTTAGGTTATCATCAATTAATCAAAAACGAATCTTTACTGACTTTCACAAAAGAAACTGCAAAAACGGCAGGTAAACTGCGAACTCAATTAGGCCTTTTACTATCACCAGCTTTAGCAACAACACCAAGAAACGAGATAACGCCAAATAAAAAAAAATCAATACAAATCCTTCTTCTCCTTTGTCTAAATTGCGTACGATTTTGTGTGCCAGGTTCTCTAGTTTGTAACATTTAATGTTTAGGTTCTCATATCTAAATGTGATAACGTGGTTTTCTTTTATTCTGTATAAAAATTCTATTCAGAGTAGGTTTGGTTTGAGGTTTTGCATACATTGCATTAATTTCAATTTGCTCTGTATTAATTAATAACATATAGTAACTTAACAGTAATAACAGTATAGTACTTTTTATACATTTTTACATTTTCTTAATAGGGATTTGGTTATCATCAATTAAAAAATATTTGCATACAAAATTTAAGTAATTTATCCCTAATAATCAATCCCTGATTCCTGACTCTAGTATTTTTCTAAGGTGATTCAGTCCCTTTAGGTGTCTGTTTTTGGGGATTAAAACAAAGATAGCGACATCATCACTCATTGTGTGTTGGGGGGGGGGGGGGGGCGCCTGGCAACAACCCGCCCCGGGCGCCAAAAAGCCACGCGACGGCCCTGCACAGGAATGCAGATGCACTATCTAGAAGACCGTGCGGGGACAACTGCGTGCACTGCACACACAAGGAAGACAAAAGTGCATCGGTTTATCGTCTGACAGCCGTTGGTGACAAATGGAACAGTAAGAAACTTTTTTGATGTTTGTTTGTTTTCACGTCCAGTGCCTTTGGATGACTTAGTCTCTGTGAAATTTTGAAAAGTTGGCACTCTTGACATTGTGGATTGCTAAATTCTTCCACCATCATACAGAGTTTGTAAAAATGAGTCGAACGCTCGTACCGCCCAGTGAATGCTGGAATCTTGTAATGAACACGTTCAACGCAAAACAAATACAACTATCCGCCTTTAAGGATAGAGGTGTGCTCTGTTGTTTCGACTTTATTTAGTCTCTTCAGTGATAGATAGGTCCGAAGACCACTATCAGACAACAGTAAGTGTGTTTTGCGTGGAACGTGTTCAGACCGGGGGTTTCGGTTAGTGTCAGCCTGGATAGGGTTTCAGTATTAGTGTTAAGACTAATGGGTAAACACATAAATGGTTTAACTGAAGTATTGGCTGAAGCAACGTTACTAGCCTAATTCAAGTTAGAGAAAGCAAAGTGTGAAACACAATCCAAATTGCCAATTTTTAACAAACATTCTAACAACACACCAGAAGGTGTGAAATCCCTTAAACATAATACTTACTTGCACATCCATACAACTAATTAACTTACAACTTACAAGAAGGAAATCACAGAATTAGGTCATAGACCCATAAATATCTAAATAAAATGTTAGTTCCAATAAAACTTTATAAGAGAATTAGCTGAAACTCAACCATTACCTGCCTGGCAAGCCTAAAACCAACCACTAAGTAAATAACACACGTTCATATATAAATTTGTTAAATTTTAATAAAATTATCTAAATTGTGAAAACTTGAATTTTTACGCTTGAAGCAATTGATTAACAAAACTCAACCACTGCATGTCATGCAGCTAATACCGTAAGCGATAGTTATCGTGAAACCTCCATTAAGACAACGGCTAATTTAAGAACTATCAGTACAAAATTGTAAACAGCGTGAAGTCAGGCTAGGACGGATTATTCAGGCGAGATGCGATCACTGACTGTAGATGAAGTGGAAGAGAAGGAAACTCTGCTTGGAGATATTTCGGATACTTGCAAACTACGTCTAAACTCAGTCTGAAACAGACAACATATACACTGATGATTGCGGATGTCAAAATCACTGTTAACTTGTAACGCTAATATTTAAAGCAATGATGGTTTAGGCACAACGAATATAAGTGATTTTACAATAAAGAACAAATAAAGTTACATTTCTGTTTCAGATTAATTATAAATAACCATTGCCGGGTGTATGGGAGGTTCAAATGGAAGCATTAATCAATGTACGTGTCGTTGACACTGTTGCTCCATCGTACTCAATCCTCCCATACGAAAAAGTACTGGAAAATACAGAAAGATAGAAGAAGAGAAAATTCTTAAAACTAGTTAACAGAAACAAGAAACACTTCTTTCACCCCTCTAATCACTTTTGTGGATGGAATGCTAGGCAAAGAGTCTCAGACATTGCTCAGAGCAATGGAAGAAACCTTACAGTTTAGTGATGAACTGGATAAGGGTTAAAACCATCTGTGAAACATTAAGGGCCACGTGTGTCTAAGGAAGACAAGAAAGAAGTGGAGGGCCCTTAGAGAATTTAAAGATGGGACTGGAGTACCGGCATTTATTAATTAAAATTTTAAAAATTCTGTTTTTTATCAAAAAGTTAAAAAACCCATATTTCAGTAAGCACTAAATTTTAATTCATCCAAATCGTAAAAATGGTTTGAAAATTGAATTTACAACCATCTGAATATGATTAAGATGATATAAAATACAAATGGAGAGATGTAACAGAATCATACACCTTGCATTGTTTGTTTAGTTGAAACCGTTTCTCATATAGCTCAATAATGCCTCAATAGTTATTTGGTGTGGAAAGTTTCTCGAGTGCAGCAAAGGCACTTTGCACTCGCGTTACACATTATATGTTTCTTACAGTTACAAGGTGAGTTAGTTATCCTTCTTTTCTCCTCAATAATTATAAAGCATTTAAATAATTAGTCTTTTTTATACACTATACAACACGTTTTTAGGTTAGGTTAAATCCAAGGTGTTCGGTATTCATATTTTTAGAGTATTTAGAAATTAATCATTATGTTAATTAAGTCACTGGTTAATTAATCATGCTAATGTGTATATAAATCACCACATTTATTGTAATATTATTTAGTCTCAGTAACAATTTATTGTAAATAGACTCCCGCTTTCAATATTCAAATGAGATTGCTAAGCCTGCTCGAATTTCCCGCCACAGTAAGGCCTATTTTCCTGTACTACATACCCATGAATCACCTGACGCCGTGTTTGCTTCAATCGCATTTCCTATTGGCCATCGAATTCCTAGACCCCTCTAAACCGCAATTGCATTTTTCAAAGTGTGAAGCCGGCGATCGGCGTCTGTCTGTCCACGGTCGGCGTCCATAACTCACGGTGTATTCCGTTTCTCGTATCTCGGGACATTAATTGCCCATTTTACCTCTCTTAAACGTATTTTTAGGCTATAGATTAATTATATCTGGCCTCCCTCTCCTCTATAGTACATTTAACTATATATACATTTTAATTTCCCCCTTTTGTTTGTGATTAAATTACTTAAATTGTGATCTAGTGCTTTCAGACTCTTCAAACCAATCAAACCTCAAGACAGTGTGTGCGCGTCCGTGTATTACTTCTAGACTTTCCGTACGTTTTCACCGCGACTTCCGCGTATTAGTGAGCTCTTTGTGATCATGAACTTGGGTGCGTTGCGTTCTCCAAAATTCTACAAAACAGAAGCACTCGGTCTAAGGACTCCGCCATCCGCCATCGCTCCACCATAGACGACGCCGCTGCCATACTCTCCACCTTTGGATAATTGGACTCAAGGTACAACCTTAAAGTTTTGTGTGTGTTTTAATTAGACTCTAAAACTAATCTCATTTGCCCCTCACAAGACATTTTATTCCATCTCGGGACCTCAGTGCCCTTCAAATTGCAGATTCGCCATTTTCTATAATTTAATTATTTTTCTCTTGAACTATTAATTAGTTCTGGTCCTTCGAGTTATTAATTATTTTCATTTTCACCCATTACGCCCCCAACATTTGGTCCTTCGAGCCGGATTCATTGTCTAAAGTCCTGTGGTAATTAATTTCAGCCAATTTTCATCATCAACCATATTTTTAGCGATCTGCAATTTTCAATTTTCGCCATATTGGTAAAATATCGGCTCGCGTTCGTTCCGTTCGTGGGCGTGGTTTAGCAATCTCTCTCCACTCGCGCGTCTGCGCAGGTCACAATCATGTACAATTTGCTGTTCTCTCTAGTAGTAGACAATTTTTCCCTACTTGGCTTTTTATCCCGAAAACGGGATTTAGTTTTAGTTGCGGGATTTAGTCGCGTGCAGACGGCCGACACTAGTAGTAGACGCATATCTCAACTGTCACTCACTGTACAGCGTTTGTTGTTGTTTACAATTTCTCATTTAAGGTGTATTGTGTAATAAGGTTGATTGATATTATTAATAACCAACTATTAGGTTATTATTAGGTATTTACTATTATTCTTTGAAACAATATTGCTCTTTTGAATATCATACTAAATAAACAATAATTTGTCATTGTTATTTAACATTGTTTATGCTTTCTGAATTTTGATTTTAAATGAAGTAAAGTTAAATTAGTTCATCTCTGTAATTTTGGTTGACAAACGTGCGATATTATATTTAAGGTAATTTTATCTTGTCAATTAACATTTTAATAAATAGTTCAAAATAACCGTTTTTACTGGTTCTTATTACTAGTGTTGTACATATAAACAAAACTGTTAGCTAGCGTATTTGTATTGTGATTCATATTTCATTGATGGTTATAATTTTATGTTCCTTTCTCATTTATTAGGGTAATAACTTACTCTTTATGTTGCAATTCTTGTTTACTAAGGATTATTCTACACTGTTTCATTAATGAGGCCTACTCTCATTAAACTTATTTAGATCCATTTATTATTTTTGTAAATAACGGTGAACTTTCATGTGACTCATTCATTTGTTCTATCATATCTCTTGTTTTATTGTGCATTATTATTACCGTACTTGAATACTTTCAACTAAGCTCAATTGTTGATTTATAGTTTGAAAATCGAATTAAACCTGCCACACTCATTTAAAAATATTTTATTGCTATTTAACGTGTTAATAACTTAGTGTTTTTCACTATTTGCCTCAATTAAGCTACAAAGTAGGTGGATATATGTTTTAGATATTTATAATATTTTATCTCTATATTATTCAGCGGACAATTAATTACTACATTGTTAAGCTAATACCATTCATAGGCCTAGCTACAAGCCTTTTGTGTACCCACAACTTCCATTTTCGTGTGAATACTTTCAAGTGAACACTTCACAATGCCTCCTAAAGCATCTGATTTTAAGTCCGCAATCTACACCCGTTCTACGGCGCTGATTAAATCACGTTTTGAAAAACTTAAGGCTACAGTAGATGAGTTATCAACTCAAATCGACCCTCTAACACCATTACAACTTAAGAAATTATCCGCTTACGCGTTGGAAATAAAAAAGAAACGCAGTGAATTTGAAAATAACCTTCAACGTGCCTTCGTTCTGGAAGATGAAGGGATCGATGATAAGACTCTTTCCAATGATCAAGATGCTATTGAAGACATGTTCTCTCACATTCAAGCTACGATTGAAACCCTGGTTCCCTCAGAACCACCAAAAACCCCTTCCGCGTTCAGTGAATCGTTTTCTGTTTCAGAAACTCATCCAAGCTCACAAGTACGATTACCTAAACTGGACTTACAAAAATTCTCTGGCGATCCATTAACGTGGACAAGTTTTATCAATCTTTTTGACACTGCAATCCACCGTAATGCTTCATTATCCTCTGTTATGAAATTCCAGTACTTACTCTCTGTCTTAAATGGAGAGCCTCTCAATTTAATAAGGAGTTTAAATCTCACCGCTCCTAATTATCTAGTCGCCTATGAATTGTTACGTGACAGATATCACAACAATCGAAGATTGCAATCATTGCATCTTAACCAATTGTTGGACCTGCCAAACATTACGGCAACTTCACTCAAAGGTTTGCGCCAATTTGTAAACCTGTTTACGGAACACACACAAGCTCTTAAGGCATTAAATTGTGACGTTAGTGACAACAACCCCCTATTGTCCGCACTCCTTTTGCGTAAAATGGACCAGGAACTACGTAAAAAACTTGAATCGTTCCGTTCCAGTCAAACCGAAGATCCAGTTACTCATTCATTACCAGAAATTGGTGAAATAATAAAATTTCTTAACCAAGAATGTTCGCAGACAGAAGATGCTAACATACATTACATGTCATCGGCCCACAGAAGCGTTCAACCTTCACCTCACAAAACCATACCAAAAAAGGTGCATTTCCGGTCTGACGTAGGCCTAGCCATGGTAGCTACTTCGAGATCTAATGCTCCCCCCTCTCATAGCTCTCAGACTAAAAATAGTCCTGTCTATAACAAATGTTTTGTTTGTAACAAAAATGATCACAAAGTTTACACTTGTGACGTATTTCAAAATAAATCTCCTCGAGAGCGACACGCCATTGTTAAAAAACATAATCGTTGTTTTTCTTGCTTGGGTGAACATAGCTCCAAAGAATGCCGCTCTCAGTTCACTTGTCGCACATGTAAACAGCGACACCACTCTCTCTTACACCTTGGTGATAATAATCAAACCTCTCAGATGTCTTTTCGACCTCAAGGTCAATGCACCTCCCCGACCACTTCAGGTCCATCTCACACTCAGACTGGTGATGTTAATTCACAAGCCTCTATCTCCGCCACTGTCGCGGATGTAAGCAATTATTCTGCCCAAAATAACTCATGTACGACTTCGGGTAATTATACTGTATTACTCGGCACCGCCTTGGTCAAGTTGACTTCCCCTCAGGGTATCTCTCATGTGTTTCGTGCTCTACTAGATACTGGCAGTATGTGTGATCTGCTCTCAGAACGCGCTGCGAATCTCCTGAATATAAAACGCCAGTCTTCTCAACTCAAAATATCTGGTCTTTCTCAAATGGCTTCCTG